TCAGCCTTGCAGAGCGGTTTCTGTGATTACCTCTGATTATTGTTGGGTAGATGTTTCAAATAAGTGACATTTGCAGTGACTCTCCACACAAGGTGTGGATTCAAATGTCAGCTAGAGAAGTCCACATCTCTCTTTGGCTGGATGTCTGGCAGCGAAGCTCCTCGCACTGTCTTTATTCGTCTGGCGGCTGCATTTCTACTGTAATTTTTCAATCAGAATTTGAGGGGAAGTGTGACATTTTAATGCTTGTTCTGATTCTGGGTCTGCTCAACTGGAACACTCTCTTTTGAATGTGAAACAGATTTTCTCTTCAGTAATGCAATTCCTGCCTGGATCACTAAAAAGATGCACGCTGCTCTGATTGCAGCGCAAACAGTATTTATTGCACAGCCTCACTGTGGGGCTAGCAAAATGTTTGTCTGACCACTGCAATCTTATTTTAAGGCACATCATGACTCTCTGTAGCACAGAAAAGAAAGTATTTTGCTGTACATTTCAAGAAATTCTAACCAACAGCCTGGGAATTTGGTGGTGTCGTGCTTGAGCCAGTTTTTCTCGACTCAAGAATAGACATTCTCAGACTTGTCTTGGTCTCGTCCCCATTAATCTCACCAAATTTAGTCTCTGGTCTTGACCAGGAGCAGCTACCACTTAAAAATATAAATATGTATTTGCATTTTCTTTCTTTCAACTGTTATCAATGCACACTGACTAGCATTGAGGAAATGCTGCACAGGTTGACATGAGGATATAGAATTGCCTTCTGAAGCTGAAAAATCTTCATATCTGACTAAATTTAAAAAGAACTTTTAATCAGTATTTGTAATATATTTATGTTTATAAGTACTAGAGGAAATATTTTATTAAGCTTGCTTGACAAATCCGGCTTACTGTTCTTTATTTTAGTATTCTACACTTTTTGGTATCATTTTCACAAGAATTAGAACCACAAAACTTTGCAGGATCGTTGATTGTAGTGCACCAGTGCTTTTGGGGCTGACTGAACATATGGTTTTCATACAGCATTCTTTAAATCTCCCCTTAGAAAATAATTGAGAAATGTTGAGAAAACTGCCACAAAGGATGTCAGAAAGACTATCAAACTGCCCCTCAGAGACATTCCATACAGACTCACATACATCCTAGCACATATATACATACACAGTGTAGATACCATAGCAGCGGCCTAGCAACACCTTAGCAGCCACCTGGGATAACACAGCAATGGCCTAGCAACATCTCAGCAACCAACTGTGACAACATAGCAACAATCAAGCAACACCTAGCAACCACCTGGGATAACATAGCAATGGCCTAGCAACATCTCAGCAACCAACTGTGACAACATAGCAACAATCAAGCAACACCTAGCAACCACCTGGGATAACATAGCAACACCTTAGCAGCCACCTGGGATAACACAGCAATGGCCTAGCAACATCTCAGCAACCAACTGTGACAACATAGCAACAATCAAGCAACACCTAGC